TTGGATTTTAAATTTTTTTAAAATTTGGTTAAAACCCTTTTTAAAAATTAATTTTGAGTGGTTCCCCCAACAAAACTTTAAATTTGTAATAGAAAAATAATGCTTCTAAAGCAAGCACATGCTTTTTAAGAAATTTAATTGGCTTAATATTGGCCTAACAATTGTAATCTAACAGTAGCAATAAAAAGAAAAAGATGTATGAGAACTCTAGAGAAGCTTTTTTTTTTTTTTTATCTTGAGTTATATAATGAAATACAACTTTCTTTTATTTCTTAATTTATTCTACTTATATGTTATGCAATTTGAATTTAAAATTTCTTATTTCGAGTGAAAGAAGATTATTATTGAATTATTTAAGTTATTAGTAACTCTAAAAAAGTTAGTTACTACATGAGATGCTAAGAGAAATAAGAAATTGTGTAATCTCAAAACTTATACAAAAAATATTGTATAAAACACTTATCATTAAATGAGGGTGAAGTCTTGATATTGAGAGTTGTCTCTTATCTAATAACTTTTAGATACAACCTAAATGATAAAATAAGAAATTGAAAATAATGAGTTCATCAAGAAAAAAAAAAAGGAAAAACCAATAATAATATGGGGTGCCGGTCTATTACTAATTTTTTTTTTTTTTTTTTTGATTCATTTTATTTGCTAGTGTTAGAATCTGTTGATGGGCAACTTAGGGGAAGTTGACCGTGACTGGTGGCTTTGATTGTTGCCCATATGCAGGGCCGGATTTTGGGCTTGTTAAAGTAATAGAATTAATACGTGCATTAATTAAATCAAAACGTATGGGTTTAAACATAATGTGTTATAAATATTTCACCTGAATTGATTTTACGTTATTTATTTGCCAAAAAAAATTAAGATCTTAAGGAGGGTGGCGGGAGAGTCATTTTTATTGTATAATTTATTATTTGATATACAAAAAATACTACTATATTTTTAGGGTTTGTTTTAGGGATTAACTTTTTTGAGAGAGTTTTTCTCAAAGTAGTCCATATCGTACTGGTATGCGTATCGATTTTGCTATTGAAATGGTATGTATCAGATATCAAAATTTTTCGTGTACCGTTTCGGATTTATCGCTATAAATATATTTTTATAAATTAAATATTTAATTTTAAAATAAAATAAGAGATACTAATATTTAAAACTATGATACTCTTATAAATTAAAAATAAGTTTAAAATGATCATTTTTAGTCTTTCAACTTCTAATATATGTATATTTTTCGTCCATCCACTTTAAATTAAGGGACTAAAAATATGTATATTTAGATAAATGTAACAAAATAATTAATAGAAAGACTAAAAAAAATGAAAAATAGACTAAAAAAGTACATAAAAAAGTTAAAAAATGAAAATTATACATAACATTAAAGTTGATGACCAAAAATGGAATTTACCCTTTTTAAATTTGAATTGAGTTATATGGAGAATTTTTGTGTACCGGTATTTGAAATTACAGTTGCAGGGTATTAAGAAGCCCTTAACCCAAAACGATGTTGTTTTGGGCTAGGGAATCCTTTCTTTTAAAAAAAATTTATCAGTGTGTACTAGCTGAAATTTCGATAAACCGGCCAGTACATCAAAATTTTGGTCAGTACACTAAATTTTGGTCAGTACATTAAATTTTGACCAAATCAATCGGATTTTGACCGAAATGAATTTTTGTACTATATCATTTCGGTCAACATAAAAAATCAATACGTACCGATCATACCGGTCAATACGTTATGAGACTCACTTCTTTGGTTTTTCCTTAAAAAATAATTGTCAAAATATCATACAAAAAGTTAGAAGGTAACTGTGAAAAATTAAAAAATTTTATAAAAAAATTTTGTTAAGAATTATAAACGCTACTGTGTTTACTTAGAATTTAATATTAAAAAAATTGGCGAACCATTCCTCAATTAAAGAAGCACTATTTCTGCCAGTTTTATATGTGAAAATATGAAAACAACTCTTAAAAAATTAAGGGGGAAATTTCCCCCATAAGCTGTAGAGGATCCTCAAGCGTCTTTACTAAGTACACTAGGAAAATTTGCCATATAGGTATGGACAAAAACCATAAGTATATAGTAAAATTCCGTAGGTGTATCTCCTCAAGATCTATACCAACAAACAAAAAAAGCGTAATTAAGTTGACTAAATTAAGAACAGAGCTAGCTGCATATTGTCATTTATTGAGTAAATTAAGTTGTTCGGATACTGTCTTAATTTTCCCTAATGTGGTTTGCGAATGGGAATACTCTGTTCATATTTGAGGAAATTATCAGGATCCACCTTCGTCTTCACGTTCACCAATCTGTCAAAATTGTTCTTGAAATACTTCTTGCCGTAAACTTGCCCTTCCTCAAATGTACCATTAGAATTGATCCCAATATCAATATCACGATAATTGAGGAATGCTTCCCTTGGATTCTTTGACACATAAGGAGTCATGGCTTCGTAAAGCTTTTCCGTTGACTTCAAGTACCTGTTGCTGATTTCACTTCCTTCTTCCTTCCAGTTCACGTTATACTGTATCTTGAATATGTTCCCTGCTCGATGAGGGAATGCAGTTTCGTTTGATGGAATCTGGCTCATTTTCCCGCCGTAAGGATTCCACTGCATTCCTACCGACTCGGATTCAATCACGGCCTTCCATATTGCTTCCAATCCAGACTTGGGAATAGGCTGCTGAACGTAATCAGATTTTCGTTTGAGAGAGGATACAAACTTTGGAATTTTGTCAAGCAACACATCTATGGATGTTCCGTTAGGAAAACCTGCCCAGTAAGGAATAGATTCGACCCATTTCATTTCGATGCAGTCCTTCTTCTGTACACCCAACTCCGGAAAACTATTGTTCATTAAAGTAAGAAGCCTTTCACTTTCTCCAAGAAACATGGCAATAAAAGATGTCTTTACAGTCTTCGTCCCTGGTTGGCTTCCATTAACCGGAGCTACGATCAATCTAAGGAAGAGATCGTCGTCTATCTTGTCTGCAATTTTTTGCCATTTCACAGTGAGGTTAGTGGCTCCTTCCTCAATAGTCTTCCCTACTGTGAAAACAGTCACAATTTCGGGGACAGGCACCAGCTTGATTTTCCACGAAAGCACCACGCAAAAGCTCGCTGCACCTCCTCCTCTAATAGCCCAGAAAAGGTCTTCTCCCATTGATTTTCTATCAAGAATTCTGCCTTCAACGTCGACGATTTTTGCATCGAGGATGTTGTCAATCGAAAGGCCATACTTCCTCATCATATTTCCATACCCACCCCCGCTTAAGTGCCCACCCATACCAAGAGTCGTACATATGCCAGCGGGGAAGCCATGGACTGGGCTTTTTTCCGCAATTCTATAATAAACTTCACCAAGACTAGCCCCAGATTCAACCCAAGCACTTTCATCCGTTACATTGATGTCAATGGCCCGATAATTGAACATATCAAGAAGAATGAACGGGACATGGGACACATAAGATAGTCCGTCGTAGTCGTGGCCACCGCTTCGAATCCTTAACTCCAATCCAAGAGTTTTAGAACAAATAATCGTTGCTTGGACATGAGATTCATGCAATGCAGCTACGATAGCGATAGGCTTCGGCGTATCGGGTGTCATGTATCTGAGGTTTCTTCCATAGGATTGTAAAACGGATACAAAGGAAGAGTTGTCTGGAGTGTAGATGGCTTCTGAGATGGGACTAGAGGGTAGATTCTGTTTCGAAACGCATTGGAGAAAGTTTTCTTGAACAGATGCTGAGTTTAGGCTAGAAAATGAGATCAAGAGAATTGAAAAAAGGGAAAATAGAGCGGAGAATGAACCCCTCATTTTTGTTTTCTTGGAGAACTTTGTGGTTCCATCACAAGGTTACAAAATATTAATTTATAGATGCATTCCTGGGGAGAAGATTAGGCAACTGAATTTAAATAGGGTTAATTTTTGAATTAATGGATTTTTTAGTACAAATGAATTTTAACATTTTTAGAAGTATTAGACTATTATCTCTGCTGATTTAAGCTTGGTTTGGAAGTATTGGACTATAGTTATAAGCTTTTGTCTTTAGTATGAAAAAATATATAAAATATGGAAAAAGTGTTGATTCACATTAATTCTTTAAGATTAAAAAAAATTATTTTAAAATTATGTTATTCTAATAAATTTTTATTGAAAATGATTAAAATATTTTATTTTAATAGCATGAATTAAATTATTTTTATTTAAAATTAAATATAATCTAAAATAATAATAGAGAACTAAAATTTAGTTTGATATTCAGAATTCAAATTTACATAGTATTACAAAATTAAACTTAATTAAATAATTAATACTAAAGAGCAAAAAGTATGCACAAAAAATAAAGAATGAAAATAAATTAAATAACATAATAAAAGTCCTTCAAAGAAAGTGTTTAAGTTTTTGGGCTCATAATCTCCTTCATTCTCTGTCTCAGATTGTTAGAAAATGATAGTAAATAATGG